TACAATGACCAGCCTCATCTCGTTGTGCAGCTGGACATAGACAAGTGAACCAAGAAAAAGAGCCACATTTCTCTAAAGAACTTGCCCAGGGCTGCTGAAAGCTGAAAAATAACCAATCTCACAGTTTGGGGCTTTTTACCCGTGAATCTTCACTTTGCGACTAAACTATTCACAGCAGTGCCACATGTTCTGGGTCACTGAATGTGGATGCCAGCGCGCTACAAGCAAACCAAAAATCAAATCAATGCGACCACTGACATTACAGCTGGGTCATGTTATAGAGAGGTACATTGAAATTCAAAGGTCAGCACAAATGGTCAAAATCCGACATTTTCTCACCTTCCTGCCCGTTCACAGCTCAGAAAATGACAATGACCAGCTTCATCTCGTTGTGCAGCTGGACATAGACAAGTGCACCAAGAAAAAGAGCCACATTTCTCTAAAGAACTTGCCCAGGGCTGCTGAAAGCTGAAAAATAACCAATCTCACAGTTTGGGGCTTTTTACCCGTGAATCTTCACTTTGCGACTAAACTATTCACAGCAGTGCCAAATTTTTTGGGTCACTGAATGTGGGTGCCAGCGCCCTAGAAGCAAACCAAAAATCAAATCAATGCGACAACTGACATTACAGCTGGGTCATGTTATAGAGAGGTACATTGAAATTCAAAGGTCAGCACAAATGGTCAAAATCCGACATTTTCTCACCTTCCTGCCCGTTCACAGCTCAGAAAATGACAATGACCAGCCTCATCTTGTTGTGCAGCTGGACATAGACAAGTGAACATAGAAAAAGAGCCACATTTCTCTAAAGAACTTGCCCAGGGCTGCTGAAAGCTGAAAAATAACCAATCTCACAGTTTGGGGCTTTTTACCCGTGAATCTTCACTTTGCGACTAAACTATTCACAGCAGTGCCACATTTTCTGGGTCACTGAATGTGGATGCCAGCGCCCTACAAGCAAACCAAAAATCAAATCAATGCGACCACTGACATTACAGCTGGGTCATGTTATAGAGAGGTACATTGAAATTCAAAGGTCAGCACAAATGGTCAAAATCCGACATTTTCTCACCTTCCTGCCCGTTCACAGCTCAGAAAATTACAATGACCAGCCTCATCTCGTTGTGCAGCTGGACATAGACAAGTGAACCAAGAAAAAGAGCCACATTTCTCTAAAGAACTTGCCCAGGGCTGCTGAAAGCTGAAAAATAACCAATCTCACAGTTTGGGGCTTTTTACCCGTGAATCTTCACTTTGCGACTAAACTATTCACAGCAGTGCCACATGTTCTGGGTCACTGAATGTGGATGCCAGCGCGCTACAAGCAAACCAAAAATCAAATCAATGCGACCACTGACATTACAGCTGGGTCATGTTATAGAGAGGTACATTGAAATTCAAAGGTCAGCACAAATGGTCAAAATCCGACATTTTCTCACCTTCCTGCCCGTTCACAGCTCAGAAAATGACAATGACCAGCTTCATCTCGTTGTGCAGCTGGACATAGACAAGTGCACCAAGAAAAAGAGCCACATTTCTCTAAAGAACTTGCCCAGGGCTGCTGAAAGCTGAAAAATAACCAATCTCACAGTTTGGGGCTTTTTACCCGTGAATCTTCACTTTGCGACTAAACTATTCACAGCAGTGCCAAATTTTTTGGGTCACTGAATGTGGGTGCCAGCGCCCTAGAAGCAAACCAAAAATCAAATCAATGCGACAACTGACATTACAGCTGGGTCATGTTATAGAGAGGTACATTGAAATTCAAAGGTCAGCACAAATGGTCAAAATCCGACATTTTCTCACCTTCCTGCCCGTTCACAGCTCAGAAAATGACAATGACCAGCCTCATCTTGTTGTGCAGCTGGACATAGACAAGTGAACATAGAAAAAGAGCCACATTTCTCTAAAGAACTTGCCCAGGGCTGCTGAAAGCTGAAAAATAACCAATCTCACAGTTTGGGGCTTTTTACCCGGGAATCTTCACTTTGCGACTAAACTATTCACAGCAGTGCCACATTTTCTGGGTCACTGAATGTGGATGCCAGCGCCCTACAAGCAAACCAAAAATCAAATCAATGCGACCACTGACATTACAGCTGGGTCATGTTATAGAGAGGTACATTGAAATTCAAAGGTCAGCACAAATGGTCAAAATCCGACATTTTCTCACCTTCCTGCCCGTTCACAGCTCAGAAAATTACAATGACCAGCCTCATCTCGTTGTGCAGCTGGACATAGACAAGTGAACCAAGAAAAAGAGCCACATTTCTCTAAAGAACTTGCCCAGGGCTGCTGAAAGCTGAAAAATAACCAATCCCACAGTTTGGGGCTTTTTACCTGTGAATCTTCACTTTGCGACTAAACTATTCACAGCAGTGCCACATTTTCTGGGTCACTGAATGTGGATGCCAGCGCGCTACAAGCAAACCAAAAATCAAATCAATGCGACCACTGACATTACAGCTGGGTCATGTTATAGAGAGGTACATTGAAATTCAAAGGTCAGCACAAATGGTCAAAATCCGACATTTTCTCACCTTCCTGCCCGTTCACAGCTCAGAAAATGACAATGACCAGCCTCATCTCATTGTGCAGCTGGAATTGGAAAAGTGCACCAAGAAAAAGAGCCACATTTCTCTAAAGAACTTGCCCAGGGCTGCTGAAAGCTGAAAAATAACCAATCTCACAGTTTGGGGCTTTTTACCCGTGAATCTTCACTTTGCGACTAAAATATTCACAGCAGTGCCAAATTTTTTGGGTCACTGAATGTGCGTGCCAGCGCCCTACAAGCAAACCAAAAATCAAATCAATGCGATCACTGACATTACAGCTGGGTCATGTTATAGAGAGGTACATTGAAATTCAAAGGTCAGCACAAATGGTCAAAATCCGACATTTTCTCACCTTCCTGCCCGTTCACAGCTCAGAAAATGACAATGACCAGCCTCATCTCGTTGTGCAGCTGGACATAGACAAGTGAACCAAGAAAAAGAGCCACATTTCTCTAAAGAACTTGCCCAGGGCTGCTGAAAGCTGAAAAATAACCAATCTCACAGTTTGGGGCTTTTTACCCGTGAATCTTCACTTTGCGACTAAACTATTCACAGCAGTGCCACATGTTCTGGGTCATTGAATGTGGATGCCAGCGCGCTACAAGCAAACCAAAAATCAAAACAATGCGACCACTGACATTACAGCTGGGTCATGTTATAGAGAGGTACATTGAAATTCAAAGGTCAGCACAAATGGTCAAAATCCGACATTTTCTCACCTTCCTGCCCGTTCACAGCCCAGAAAATGACAATGACCAGCCTCATCCCGTTGTGCAGCTGAACATAGACAAGTGCACCAAGAAAAAGAGCCACATTTCTCTAAAGAACTTGCCCAGGGCTGCTGAAAGCTGAAAAATAACCAATCTCACACTTTGGGGCTTTTTACCCGTGAATCTTCACTTTGCGGCTAAACTATTCACAGCAGTGCCAAATTTTTGGGGTCACTGAATGTGAATGCCAGCGCCCTAGAAGCAAACCAAAAATCAAATCTATGCGACCACTGCCATTACAGCTGGGTCATGTTATAGAGAGGTACATTGAAATTCAAAGGTCAGCACAAATGGTCAAAATCCGACATTTTCTCACCTTCCTGCCCGTTCACAGCTCAGAAAATGACAATGACCAGCCTCATCTCGTTCTGCAGCTGGACATAGACAAGTGCACCAAGAAAAAGAGCCACATTTCTCTAAAGAACTTGCCCAGGGCTGCTGAAAGCTGAAAAATAACCAATCTCACAGTTTGGGGCTTTTTACCCGTGAATCTTCACTTTGCGACTAAACTATTTACAGCAGTGCCAAATTTTTTGGGTCACTGAATGTGGGTGCCAGCGCCCTACAAGCAAACCAAAAATCAAATCAATGCGACAACTGACATTACAGCTGGGTCATGTTATAGAGAGGTACATTGAAATTCAAAGGTCAGCACAAATGGTCAAAATCCGACATTTTCTCACCTTCCTGCCCGTTTACAGCTCAGAAAATGACAATGACCAGCCTCATCTTGTTGTGCAGCTGGACATAGACAAGTGAACATAGAAAAAGAGCCACATTTCTCTAAAGAACTTGCCCAGGGCTGCTGAAAGCTGAAAAATAACCAATCTCACAGTTTGGGGCTTTTTACCCGTGAATCTTCACTTTGCGACTAAACTATTCACAGCAGTGCCACATTTTCTGGGTCACTGAATGTGGATGCCAGTGCCCTACAAGCAAACCAAAAATCAAATCAATGCGACAACTGACATTACAGCTGGGTCATGTTATAGAGAGGTACATTGAAATTCAAAGGTCAGCACAAATGGTCAAAATCCGACATTTTCTCACCTTCCTGCCCGTTCACAGCTCAGAAAATTATAATGACCAGCCTCATCTCGTTGTGCAGCTGGACATAGACAAGTGAACCAAGAAAAAGAGCCACATTTCTCTAAAGAACTTGCCCAGGGCTGCTGAAAGCTGAAAAATAACCAATCTCACAGTTTGGGGCTTTTTACCCGTGAATCTTCACTTTGCGACTAAACTATTCACAGCAGTGCCACATTTTCTGGGTCACTGAATGTGGATGCCAGCGCGCTACAAGCAAACCAAAAATCAAATCAATGCGACCACTGACATTACAGCTGGGTCATGTTATAGAGAGGTACATTGAAATTCAAAGGTCAGCACAAATGGTCAAAATCCGACATTTTCTCACCTTCCTGCCCGTTCACAGCTCAGAAAATGACAATGACCAGCCTCATCTCATTGTGAAGCTGGACATAGACAAGTGCACCAAGAAAAAGAGCCACATTTCTCTAAAGAACTTGCCCAGGGCTGCTGAAAGCTGAAAAATAACCAATCTCACAGTTTGGGGCTTTTTACCCGTGAATCTTCACTTTGCGACTAAAATATTCACAGCAGTGCCAAATTTTTTGGGTCACTGAATGTGCGTGCCAGCGCCCTACAAGCAAACCAAAAATCAAATCAATGCGATCACTGACATTACAGCTGGGTCATGTTATAGAGAGGTACATTGAAATTCAAAGGTCAGCACAAATGGTCAAAATCCGACATTTTCTCACCTTCCTGCCCGTTCACAGCTCAGAAAATGACAATGACCAGCCTCATCTCGTTGTGCAGCTGGACATAGACAAGTGAACCAAGAAAAAGAGCCACATTTCTCTAAAGAACTTGCCCAGGGCTGCTGAAAGCTGAAAAATAACCAATCTCACAGTTTGGGGCTTTTTACCCGTGAATCTTCACTTTGCGACTAAACTATTCACAGCAGTGCCACATGTTCTGGGTCACTGAATGTGGATGCCAGCGCGCTACAAGCAAACCAAAAATCAAAACAATGCGACCACTGACATTACAGCTGGGTCATGTTATAGAGAGGTACATTGAAATTCAAAGGTCAGCACAAATGGTCAAAATCCGACATTTTCTCACCTTCCTGCCCGTTCACAGCTCAGAAAATGACAATGACCAGCCTCATCCCGTTGTGCAGCTGAACATAGACAAGTGCACCAAGAAAAAGAGCCACATTTCTCTAAAGAACTTGCCCAGGGCTGCTGAAAGCTGAAAAATAACCAATCTCACACTTTGGGGCTTTTTACCCGTGAATCTTCACTTTGCGGCTAAACTATTCACAGCAGTGCCAAATTTTTTGGGTCACTGAATGTGAATGCCAGCGCCCTAGAAGCAAACCAAAAATCAAATCTATGCGACCACTGCCATTACAGCTGGGTCATGTTATAGAGAGGTACATTGAAATTCAAAGGTCAGCACAAATGGTCAAAATCCGACATTTTCTCACCTTCCTGCCCGTTCACAGCTCAGAAAATGACAATGACCAGCCTCATCTTGTTGTGCAGCTGGACATAGACAAGTACACCAAGAAAAAGAGCCACATTTCTCTAAAGAACTTGCCCAGGGCTGCTGAAAGCTGAAAAATAACCAATCTCACAGTTTGGGGCTTTTTACCCGTGAATCTTCACTTTGCGACTTAACTATTCACAGCAGTGCCACATTTTCTGGGTCACTGAATGTGGATGCCAGCGCCCTACAAGCAAACCAAAAATCAAATCAATGCGACCACTGACATTACAGCTGGGTCATGTTATAGAGAGGTACATTGAAATTCAAAGGTCAGCACAAATGGTCAAAATCCGACATTTTCTCACCTTCCTGCCCGTTCACAGCTCAGAAAATGACAATGACCAGCCTAATCTTGTTGTGCAGCTGGACATAGACAGGTGCACCAAGAAAAAGAGCCACATTTCTCTAAAGAACTTGCCCAGGGCAGCTGAAAGCTGAAAAATAACCAATCTCACAGTTTGGGGCTTTTTACCCGTGAATCTTCACTTTGCGACTAAACTATTCACAGCAGTGCCAAATGTTTTGGGTCACTGAATGTGGGTGCCAGCGCCCTACAAGCAAACCAAAAATCAAATCAATGCTACCACAGACATTACAGCTGGGTCATGTTATAGAGAGGTACATTGAAATTCAAAGGTCAGCACAAATGGTCAAAATCCGACATTTTCTCACCTTCCTGCCCGTTCACAGCTCAGAAAATGACAATGACCAGCCTCATCTTGTTGTGCAGCTGGACATAGACAAGTGCACCAAGAAAAAGAGCCACATTTCTCTAAAGAACTTGCCCAGGGCTGCTGAAAGCTGAAAAATAACCAATCTCACAGTTTGGGGCTTTTTACCCGGGAATCTTCACTTTGCGACTAAACTATTCACAGCAGTGCCACATTTTCTGGGTCACTGAATGTGGATGCCAGCGCCCTACAAGCAAACCAAAAATCAAATCAATGCGGGTACTGACATTACAGCTGGGTCATGTTATAGAGAGGTACATTGAAATTCAAAGGTCAGCACAAATGGTCAAAATCCGACATTTTCTCACCTTCCTGCCCGTTCACAGCTCAGAAAATGACAATGACCAGCCTCATCTTGTTGTGCAGCTGGACATAGACAGGTGCACCAAGAAAAAGAGCCACATTTCTCTAAAGAACTTGCCCAGGGCAGCTGAAAGCTGAAAAATAACCAATCTCACAGTTTGGGGCTTTTTACCCGTGAATCTTCACTTTGCGACTAAACTATTCACAGCAGTGCCAAATGTTTTGGGTCACTGAATGTGGGTGCCAGCGCCCTACAAGCAAACCAAAAATCAAATCAATGCTACCACTGACATTACAGCTGGGTCATGTTATAGAGAGGTACATTGAAATTCAAAGGTCAGCACAAATGGTCAAAATCCGACATTTTCTCACCTTCCTGCCCGTTCACAGCTCAGAAAATGACAATGACCAGCCTCATCTTGTTGTGCAGCTGGACATAGACAAGTACACCAAGAAAAAGAGCCACATTTCTCTAAAGAACTTGCCCAGGGCTGCTGAAAGCTGAAAAATAACCAATCTCACAGTTTGGGGCTTTTTACCCGTGAATCTTCACTTTGCGACTTAACTATTCACAGCAGTGCCACATTTTCTGGGTCACTGAATGTGGATGCCAGCGCCCTACAAGCAAACCAAAAATCAAATCAATGCGACCACTGACATTACAGCTGGGTCATGTTATAGAGAGGTACATTGAAATTCAAAGGTCAGCACAAATGGTCAAAATCCGACATTTTCTCACCTTCCTGCCCGTTCACAGCTCAGAAAATGACAATGACCAGCCTCATCTTGTTGTGCAGCTGGACATAGACAGGTGCACCAAGAAAAAGAGCCACATTTCTCTAAAGAACTTGCCCAGGGCTGCTGAAAGCTGAAAAATAACCAATCTCACAGTTTGGGGCTTTTTACCCGTGAATCTTCACTTTGCGACTAAACTATTCACAGCAGTGCCAAATGTTTTGGGTCACTGAATGTGGGTGCCAGCGCCCTACAAGCAAACCAAAAATCAAATCAATGCTACCACTGACATTACAGCTGGGTCATGTTATAGAGAGGTACATTGAAATTCAAAGGTCAGCACAAATTGTCAAAATCCGACATTTTCTCACCTTCCTGCCCGTTCACAGCTCAGAAAATGACAATGACCAGCCTCATCTTGTTGTCCAGCTGGACATAGACAAGTGCACCAAGAAAAAGAGCCACATTTCTCTAAAGAACTTGCCCAGGGCTGCTGAAAGCTGAAAAATAACCAATCTCACACTTTGGGGCTTTTTACCCGTGAATCTTCACTTTGCGGCTAAACTATTCACAGCAGTGCCAAATTTTTTGGGTCACTGAATGTGCGTGCCAGCGCCCTAGAAGCAAACCAAAAATCAAATCTATACGACCACCGCCATTACAGCTGGGTCATGTTATAGAGAGGTACATTGAAATTCAAAGGTCAGCACAAATGGTCAAAATCCGACATTTTCTCACCTTCCTGCCCGTTCACAGCTCAGAAAATGACAATGACCAGCCTCATCTTGTTGTGCAGCTGGACATAGACAAGTACACCAAGAAAAAGAGCCACATTTCTCTAAAGAACTTGCCCAGGGCTGCTGAAAGCTGAAAAATAACCAATCTCACAGTTTGGGGCTTTTTACCCGTGAATCTTCACTTTGCGACTTAACTATTCACAGCAGTGCCACATTTTCTGGGTCACTGAATGTGGATGCCAGCGCCCTACAAGCAAACCAAAAATCAAATCAATGCGACCACTGACATTACAGCTGGGTCATGTTATAGAGAGGTACATTGAAATTCAAAGGTCAGCACAAATGGTCAAAATCCGACATTTTCTCACCTTCCTGCCCGTTCACAGCTCAGAAAATGACAATGACCAGCCTGATCTTGTTGTCCAGCTGGACATAGACAAGTGCACCAAGAAAAAGAGCCACATTTCTCTAAAGAACTTGCCCAGGGCTGCTGAAAGCTGAAAAATAACCAATCTCACAGTTTGGGGCTTTTTACCCGTGAATCTTCACTTTGCGACTAAACTATTCACAGCAGTGCCAAATGTTTTGGGTCACTGAATGTGGGTGCCAGCGCCCTACAAGCAAACCAAAAATCAAATCAATGCTACCACTGACATTACAGCTGGGTCATGTTATAGAGAGGTACATTGAAATTCAAAGGTCAGCACAAATGGTCAAAATCCGACATTTTCTCACCTTCCTGCCCGTTCACAGCTCAGAAAATGACAATGACCAGCCTCATCTTGTTGTCCAGCTGGACATAGACAAGTGCACCAAGAAAAAGAGCCACATTTCTCTAAAGAACTTGCCCAGGGCTGCTGAAAGCTGAAAAATAACCAATCTCACACTTTGGGGCTTTTTACCCGTGAATCTTCACTTTGCGGCTAAACTATTCACAGCAGTGCCAAATTTTTTGGGTCACTGAATGTGCGTGCCAGCGCCCTAGAAGCAAACCAAAAATCAAATCTATACGACCACCGCCATTACAGCTGGGTCATGTTATAGAGAGGTACATTGAAATTCAAAGGTCAGCACAAATGGTCAAAATCCGACATTTTCTCACCTTCCTGCCCGTTCACAGCTCAGAAAATGACAATGACCAGCCTCATCTTGTTGTGCAGCTGGACATAGACAAGTGCACCAAGAAAAAGAGCCACATTTCTCTAAAGAACTTGCCCAGGGCTGCTGAAAGCTGAAAAATAACCAATCTCACAGTTTGGGGCTTTTTACCCGTGAATCTTCACTTTGCGACTAAACTATTCACAGCAGTGCCAAAATTTTTGGGTCACTGAATGTGGGTGCCAACGCTCTACAAGCAAACCAAAAATCAAATCAATGCGACAACTGACATTACAGCTGGGTCATGTTATAGAGAGGTACATTGAAATTCAAAGGTCAGCACAAATGGTCAAAATCCGACATTTTCTCACCTTCCTGCCCGTTCACAGCTCAGAAAATGACAATGACCAGCCTCATCTCGTTCTGCAGCTGGACATAGACAAGTGCACCAAGAAAAAGAGCCACATTTCTCTAAAGAACTTGCCCAGGGCTGCTGAAAGCTGAAAAATAACCAATCTCACAGTTTGGGGCTTTTTACCCGTGAATCTTCACTTCGCGACTAAACTATTCACAGCAGTGCCAAATTTTTGGGTCACTGAATGTGGGTGCCAGCGCCCTACAAGCAAACCAAAAATCAAATCAATGCGGCAACTGCCATTACAGCTGGGTCATGTTATAGAGAGGTACATTGAAATTCAAAGGTCAGCACAAATGGTCAAAATCCGACATTTTCTCACCTTCCTGCCCGTTCACAGCTCAGAAAATGACAATGACCAGCCTCATCTCGTTGTGCAGCTGGACATAGACAAGTGCACCAAGAAAAAGAGCCACATTTCTCTAAAGAACTTGCCCAGGGCTGCTGAAAGCTGAAAAATAACCAATCTCACACTTTGGGGCTTTTTACCCGTGAATCTTCACTTTGCGGCTAAACTATTCACAGCAGTGCCAAATTTTTTGAGTCACTGAATGTGGGTGCCAGCGCCCTAGAAGCAAACCAAAAATCAAATCTATGCGACCACTGCCATTACAGCTGGGTCATGTTATAGAGAGGTACATTGAAATTCAAAGGTCAGCACAAATGGTCAAAATCCGACATTTTCTCACCTTCCTGCCCGTTCACAGCTCAGAAAATGACAATGACCAGCCTCATCTTGTTGTGCAGCTGGACATAGACAAGTGAACATAGAAAAAGAGCCACATTTCTCTAAAGAACTTGCCCAGGGCTGCTGAAAGCTGAAAAATAACCAATCTCACAGTTTGGGGCTTTTTACCCGGGAATCTTCACTTTGCGACTAAACTATTCACAGCAGTGCCACATTTTCTGGGTCACTGAATGTGGATGCCAGCGCCCTACAAGCAAACCAAAAATCAAATCAATGCGACCACTGACATTACAGCTGGGTCATGTTATAGAGAGGTACATTGAAATTCAAAGGTCAGCACAAATGGTCAAAATCCGACATTTTCTCACCTTCCTGCCCGTTCACAGCTCAGAAAATGACAATGACCAGCCTCATCTTGTTGTGCAGGTGGACATAGACAAGTAAACCAAGAAAAAGAGCCACATTTCTCTAAAGAACTTGCCCAGGGCGGCTGAAAGCTGAAAAATAACCAATCTCACAGTTTGGGGCTTTTTACCCGTGAATCTTCACTTTGCGACTAAACTATTCACAGCAGTGCCACATTTTCTGGGTCACTGAATGTGGATGCCAGCGCCCTACAAGCAAACCAAAAATCAAATCAATGCGACCACTGACATTACAGCTGGGTCATGTTATAGAAAGGTACATTGAAATTCAAAGGTCAGCACAAATGGTCAAAATCCGACATTTTCTCACCTTCCTGCCCGTTCACAGCTCAGAAAATGACAATGACCAGCCTCATCTCGTTGTGCAGCTGGACATAGACAAGTGAACCAAGAAAAAGAGCCACATTTCTCTAAAGAACTTGCCCAGGGCTGCTGAAAGCTGAAAAATAACCAATCTCACAGTTTGGGGCTTTTTACCCGTGAATCTTCACTTTGCGACTAAACTATTCACAGCAGTGCCAAATTTTTGGGGTCACTAAATGTGGGTGCCAGCGTCCTACAAGCAAACCAAAAATCAAATCAATGCGACCACTGACATTACAGCTGGATCATGTTATAGAGAGGTACATTGAAATTCAAAGGTCAGCACAAATGGTCAAAATCCGACATTTTCTCACCTTCCTGCCCGTTCATAGCTCAGAAAATGACAATGACCAGCCTCGTCTTGTTGTGCAGCTGGACATAGACAAGTGAACCAAGAAAAAGAGCCACATTTCTCTAAAGAACTTGCCCAGGGCTGCTGAAAGCTGAAAAATAACCAATCTCACAGTTTGGGGCTTTTTACCCGTGAATCTTCACTTTGCGACTAAACTATTCACAGCAGTGCCACATTTTCTGGGTCACTGAATGTGAATGCCAGCGCCCTACAAGCAAACCAAAAATCAAATCAATGCGACCACTGACATTACAGCTGGGTCATGTTATAGAGAGGTACATTGAAATTCAAAGGTCAGCACAAATGGTCAAAATCCGACATTTTCTCACCTTCCTGCCCGTTCACAGCTCAGAAAATGACAATGACCAGCCTGATCTTGTTGTGCAGCTGGACATAGACAAGTGCACCAAGAAAAAGAGCCACATTTCTCTAAAGAACTTGCCCAGGGCTGCTGAAAGCTTAAAAATAACCAATCTCACACTTTGGGGCTTTTTACCTGTGAATCTTCACTTTGCGACTAAACTATTCACAGCAGTGCCAAATTTTTGGAATCACTAAATGTGGGTGCCAGCGCCCTACAAGCAAACCAAAAATCAAATCAATGCGACCACTGACATTACAGCTGGGTCATGTTATAGAGAGGTACATTGAAATTTAAAGGTCAGCACAAATGGTCAAAATCCGACATTTTCTCACCTTCCTGCCCGTTCACAGCTCAGAAAATTACAATGACCAGCCTCATCCCGTTGTGCAGCTGGACATAGACAAGTGCACCAAGAAAAAGAGCCACATTTCTCTAAAGAACTTGCCCAGGGCTGCTGAAAGCTGAAAAATAACCAATCTCACACTTTGGGGCTTTTTACCCGTGATTCTTCACTTTGCGGCTAAACTATTCACAGCAGTGCCAATTTTTTTGGGTCACTGAATGTGGGTGCCAGCGCCCTACAAGCAAACCAAAAATCAAATCAATGCGACCACTGACATTACAGCTGGGTCATGTTATAGAGAGGTACATTAAAATTCAAAGGTCAGCACAAATGGTCAAAATCCGACATTTTCTCACCTTCCTGCCCGTTCACAGCTCAGAAAATGACAATGTCCAGCCTCATCTTGTTGTGCAGCTGGACATAGACACGTGCACCAAGAAAAAGAGCCACATTTCTCTAAAGAACTTGCCCAGGGCTGCTGAAAGCTGAAAAATAACCAATCTCACAGTTTGGGGCTTTTTACCCGTGAATCTTCACTTTGCGACTAAACTATTCACAGCAGTGCCAAATTTTTGGAATCACTAAATGTGGGTGCCAGCGCCCTACAAGCAAACAAAAAATCAAATCAATGCGACCACTGAAATTACAGCTGGGTCATGTTATAGAGAGGTACATTGAAATTCAAAGGTCAGCACAAATGGTCAAAATCCGACATTTTCTCACCTTCCTGCCCGTTCACAGCTCAGAAAATGACAATGACCAGCCTCATCTCGTTGTGCAGCTGGACATAGACAAGTGCACCAAGAAAAAGAGCCACATTTCTCTAAAGAATTTCGCCCAGGGCTGCTGAAAGCTGAAAAATAACCAATCTCCCAGTTTGGGGCTTTTTACCCGGGAATCTTCACTTTGCGACTAAACTATTCACAGCAGTGCCAAATTTATTGGGTCACTGAATGTGGATGCCAGCGCCCTACAAGCAAACCAAAAATCAAATCAATGCGACCACTGACATTACAGCTGGGTCATGTTATAGAGAGGTACATTGAAATTCAAAGGTCAGCACAAATGGTCAAAATCCGACATTTTCTCACCTTCCTGCCCGTTCACAGCTCAGAAAATGACAATGACCAGCCTCATCTTGTTGTGCAGCTGGACATAGACAAGTGAACCAAGAAATAGAGCCACATTTCTCTAAAGAACTTGCCCAGGCCTGCTGAAAGCTGAAAAATAACCAATCTCACAGTTTGGGGCTTTTTACCCGGGAATCTTCACTTTGCGACTAAACTATTCACAGCAGTGCCACATTTTCTGGGTCACTGAATGTGGATGCCAGCGCCCTACAAGCAAACCAAAAATCAAATCAATGCGACCACTGACATTACAGCTGGGTCATGTTATAGAGAGGTACATTGAAATTCAAAGGTCAGCACAAATGGTCAAAATCCGACATTTTCTCACCTTCCTGCCCGTTCACAGCTCAGAAAAGGACAATGACCAGCCTCATCTTGTTGTGCAGCTGGACATAGACAAGTACACCAAGAAAAAGAGCCACATTTCTCTAAAGAACTTGCCCAGGGCTGCTGAAAGCTGAAAAATAACCAATCTCACAGTTTGGGGCTTTTTACCCGTGAATCTTCACTTTGCGACTAAACTATTCACAGCAGTGCCACATTTTCTGGGTCACTGAATGTGGATGCCAGCGCCCTACAAGCAAACCAAAAATCAAATCAATGCTACCACTGACATTACAGCTGGGTCATGTTATAGAGAGGTACATTGAAATTCAAAGGTCAGCACAAATGGTCAAAATCCGACATTTTCTCACCTTCCTGCCCGTTCACAGCTCAGAAAATGACAATGACCAGCCTCATCTTGTTGTGCAGCTGGACATAGACAAGTGCACCAAGAAAAAGAGCCACATTTCTCTAAAGAACTTGCCCAGGGCTGCTGAAAGCTGAAAAATAACCAATCTCACACTTTGGGGCTTTTTACCCGGGAATCTTCACTTTGCGACTAAACTATTCACAGCAGTGCCAAATTTTTTGGGTCACTGAATGTGGGTGCCAGCGCCCTACAAGCAAACCAAAAATCAAATCAATGCTACCACTGACATTACAGCTGGGTCATGTTATAGAGAGGTACATTGAAATTCAAAGGTCAGCACAAATGGTCAAAATCCGACATTTTCTCACCTTCCTGCCCGTTCACAGCTCAGAAAATGACAATGACCAGCCTCATCCCGTTGTGCAGCTGGACATAGACAAGTGCACCAAGAAAAAGAGCCACATTTCTCTAAAGAACTTGCCCAGGGCTGCTGAAAGCTGAAAAATAACCAATCTCACAGTTTGGGGCTTTTTACCCGTGAATCTTCACTTTGCGACTAAACTATTCACAGCAGTGCCACATTTTCTGGGTCACTGAATGTGGACGCCAGCGCCCTACAAGCAAACTAAAAATCAAATCAATGCGACAACTGACATTACAGCTGGGTCATGTTATAGAGAGGTACATTGAAATTCAAAGGTCAGCACAAATGGTCAAAATCCGACATTTTCTCACCTTCCTGCCCGTTCACAGCTCAGAAAATGACAATGACCAGCCTCATCTTGTTGTGCAGCTGGACATAGACAAGTACACCAAGAAAAAGAGCCACATTTCTCTAAAGAACTTGCCCAGGGCTGCTAAAAGCTGAAAAATAACCAATCTCACAGTTTGGGGCTTTTTACCTGTGAATCTTCACTTTGCGACTAAACTATTCACAGCAGTGCCACATTTTCTGGGTCACTGAATGTGGATGCCAGCGCCCTACAAGCAAACCAAAAATCAAATCAATGCGACCACTGACATTACAGCTGGGTCATGTTATAGAGAGGTACATTGAAATTCAAAGGTCAGCACAAATGGTCAAAATCCGACATTTTCTCACCTTCCTGCCCGTTCACAGCTCAGAAAATGACAATGACCAGCCTCATCTCGTTGTGCAGCTGGACATAGACAAGTGAACCAAGAAAAAGAGCCACATTTCTCTAAAGAACTTGCCCAGGGCTGCTGAAAGCTGAAAAATAACCAATCTCACAGTTTGGGGCTTTTTACCCGTGAATCTTCACTTTGCGACTAAACTATTCACAGCAGTGCCACATTTTCTGGGTCACTGAATGTGGATGCCAGCGCCCTACAAGCAAACTAAAAATCAAATCAATGCGACCACTGACATTACAGCTGGGTCATGTTATAGAGAGGTACATTGAAATTCAAAGGTCAGCACAAATGGTCAAAATCCGACATTTTCTCACCTTCCTGCCCGTTCACAGCTCAGAAAATGACAATGACCAGCCTCATCTTGTTGTGCAGCTGGACATAGACAAGTGCACCAAGAAAAAGAGCCACATTTCTCTAAAGAACTTGCCCAGGGCTGCTGAAAGCTGAAAAATAACCAATCTCACAGTTTGGGGCTTTTTACCCGTGAATCTTCACTTTGCGACTAAACTATTCACAGCAGTGCCAAATTTTTGGGGTCACTAAATGTGGGTGCCAGCGCCCTACAAGCAAACCGAAAATCAAATCAATGCGACCACTGACATTGCAGCTGGGTCATGTTATAGAGAGGTACATTGAAATTCAACGGTCAGCACAAATGGTCAAAATCCGACATTTTCTCACCTTCCTGCCCGTTCACAGCTCAGAAAATGACAATGACCAGCCTCATCTTGTTGTGCAGCTGGACATAGACAAGTGCACCAAGAAAAAGAGCCACATTTCTCTAAAGAACTTGCCCAGGGCTGCTGAAAGCTGAAAAATAACAAATCTCACACTTTGGGGCTTTTTACCCGTGAATGTTCACTTTGCGACTAAACTATTCACAGCAGTGCCAAATTTTTTGGGTCACTGAATGTGGGTGCCAGCGCCCTACAAGCAAACCAAAAATAAAATCAATGCGACAACTGACATTACAGCTGGGTCATGTTATAGAGAGGTACATTGAAATTCAAAGGTCAGCACAAATGGTCAAAATCCGACATTTTCTCACCTTCCTGCCCGTTCACAGCTCAGAAAATGACAATGACCAGCCTCATCTCGTTGTGCAGCTGGACATAGACAAGTGAACCAAGAAAAAGAGCCACATTTCTCTAAAGAACTTGCCCAGGGCTGCTGAAAGCTGAAAAATAACCAATCTCACAGTTTGTGGCTTTTTACCCGTGAATCTTCACTTTGCGACTAAACTATTCACAGCAGTGCCACATTTTCTGGGTCACTGAATGTGGATGCCAGCGCCCTACAAGCAAACTAAAAATCAAATCAATGCGACAACTGACATTACAGCTGGGTCATGTTATAGAGAGGTACATTGAAATTCAAAGGTCAGCACAAATGGTCAAAATCCGACATTTCTCACCTTCCTGCCCGTTCACAGCTCAGAAAATGACAATGACCAGCCTCATCTTGTTGTGCAGCTGGACATAGACAAGTGCACCAAGAAAAAGAGCCACATTTCTCTAAAGAACTTGCCCAGGGCTGCTGAAAGCTGAAAAATAACCAATCTCACCCTTTGGGGCTTTTTACCCGTGAATCTTCACTTTGCGACTAAACTATTCACAGCAGTGCCAAATTTTTGGGGTCACTAAATGTGGGTGCCAGCGCCCTACAAGCAAACCGAAAATCAAATCAATGCGACTACTGACATTGCAGCTGGGTCATGTTATAGAGAGGTACATTGAAATTCAAAGGTCAGCACAAATGGTCAAAATCCGACATTTTCTCACCTTCCTGCCCGTTCACAGCTCAGCAAATGACAATGACCAGCCTCATCTTGTTGTGCAGCTGGACATAGACAAGTGCACCAAGAAAAAGAGCCACATTTCTCTAAAGAACTTGCCCAGGGCTGCTGAAAGCTGAAAAATAACAAATCTCACACTTTGGGGCTTTTTACCCGTGAATCTTCACTTTGCGACTAAACTATTCACAGCAGTGCCAAATTTTTTGGGTCACTGAATGTGGGTGCCAGCGCCCTACAAGCAAACCAAAAATCAAATCAATGCGACCACTGACATTACAGCTGGGTCATGTTATAGAGAGGTACATTGAAATTCAAAGGTCAGCACAAATGGTCAAAATCCGACATTTTCTCACCTTCCTGCCCGTTCACAGCTCAGAAAATGACAATGACCAGCCTCATCTCGTTGTGCAGCTGGACATAGACAAGTGAACCAAGAAAAAGAGCCACATTTCTTTAAAGAACTTGCCCAGGGCTGCTGAAAGCTGAAAAATAACCAATCTCACAGTTTGGGGCTTTTTACCCGTGAATCTTCACTTTGCGACTAAACTATTCACAGCAGTGCCACATTTTCTGGGTCACTGAATGTGGATGCCAGCGCCCTACAAGCAAACTAAAAATCAAATCAATGCGACCACTGACATTACAGCTGGGTCATGTTATAGAGAGGTACATTGAAATTCAAAGGTCAGCACAAATGGTCAAAATCCGACATTTTCTCACCTTCCTGCCCGTTCACAGCTCAGAAAATGACAATGACCAGCCTCATCTTGTTGTGCAGCTGGACATAGACAAGTGCACCAAGAAAAAGAGCCACATTTCTCTAAAGAACTTGCCCAGGGCTGCTGAAAGCTGAAAAATAACCAATCTCACACTTTGGGGCTTTTTACCCGTGAATCTTCACTTTGCGACTAAACTATTCACAGCAGTGCCAAATTTTTGGGGTCACTAAATGTGGGTGCCAGCGCCCTACAAGCAAACCGAAAATCAAATCAATGCGACCACTGACATTGCAGCTGGGTCATGTTATAGAGAGGTACATTGAAATTCAAAGGTCAGCACAAATGGTCAAAATCCGACATTTTCTCACCTTCCTGCCCGTTCACAGCTCAGAAAATGACAATGACCAGCCTCATCTTGTTGTGCAGCTGGACATAGACAAGTGCACCAAGAAAAAGAGCCACATTTCTCTAAAGAACTTGCCCAGGGCTGCTGAAAGCTGAAAAATAACAAATCTCACACTTTGGGGCTTTTTACCCGTGAATGTTCACTTTGCGACTAAACTATTCACAGCAGTGCCCAATTTTTTGGGTCACTGAATGTGGGTGCCAGCGCCCTACAAGCAAACCAAAAATCAAATCAATGCGACAACTGACATTACAGCTGGGTCATGTTATAGAGAGGTACATTGAAATTCAAAGGTCAGCACAAATGGTCAAAATCCGACATTTTCTCACCTTCCTGCCCGTTCACAGCTCAGAAAATGACAATGACCAGCCTCATCTCGTTGTGCAGCTGGACATAGACAAGTGAACCAAGAAAAAGAGCCACATTTCTCTAAAGAACTTGCCCAGGGCTGCTGAAAGCTGAAAAATAACCAATCTCACAGTTTGGGGCTTTTTACCCGTGAATCTTCACTTTGCGACTAAACTATTCACAGCAGTGCCACATTTTCTGGGTCACTGAATGTGGATGCCAGCGCCCTACAAGCAAACTAAAAATCAAATCAATGCGACCACTGACATTACAGCTGGGTCATGTTATAGAGAGGTACATTGAAATTCAAAGGTCAGCACAAATGGTCAAAATCCGACATTTTCTCACCTTCCTGCCCGTTCACAGCTCAGAAAATGACAATGACCAGCCTCATCTTGTTGTGCAGCTGGACATAGACAAGTGCACCAAGAAAAAGAGCCACATTTCTCTAAAGAACTTGCCCAGGGCTGCTGAAAGCTGAAAAATAACCAATCTCACAGTTTGGGGCTTTTTACCCGTGAATCTTCACTTTGCGACTAAACTATTCACAGCAGTGCCAAATTTTTGGGGTCACTAAATGTGGGTGCCAGCGCCCTACAAGCAAACCGAAAATCAAATCAATGCGACCACTGACATTGCAGCTGGGTCATGTTATAGAGAGGTACATTGAAATTCAAAGGTCAGCACAAATGGTCAAAATCCGACATTTTCTCACCTTCCTGCCCGTTCACAGCTCAGCAAATGACAATGACCAGCCTCATCTTGTTGTGCAGCTGGACATAGACAAGTGCACCAAGAAAAAGAGCCACATTTCTCTAAAGAACTTGCCCAGGGCTGCTGAAAGCTGAAAAATAACAAATCTCACACTTTGGGGCTTTTTACCCGTGAATGTTCACTTTGCGACTAAACTATTCACAGCAGTGCCAAATTTTTTGGGTCATTGAATGTGGGTGCCAGCACCCTACAAGCAAACCAAAAATCAAATCAATGCGACAACTGACATTACAGCTGGGTCATGTTATAGAGAGGTACATTGAAATTCAAAGGTCAGCACAAATGGTCAAAATCCGACATTTTCTCACCTTCCTGCCCGTTCACAGCTCAGAAAATGACAATGACTAGCCTCATCTTGTTGTGCAGCTGGACATAGACAAGTAAACCAAGAAAAAGAGCCACATTTCTCTAAAGAACTTGCCCAGGGCTGCTGAAAGCTGAAAAATAACAAATCTCACACTTTGGGGCTTTTTACCCGTGAATGTTCACTTTGCGACTAAACTATTCACAGCAGTGCCAAATTTTTTGGGTCACTGAATGTGGGTGCCAGCGCCCTACAAGCAAACCAAAAATCAAATCAATGCGACAACTGACATTACAGCTGGGTCATGTTATAGAGAGGTACATTGAAATTCAAAGGTCAGCACAAATGGTCAAAATCCGACATTTTCTCACCTTCCTGCCCGTTCACAGCTCAGAAAATGACAATGACCAGCCTCATCTCGTTGTGCAGCTGGACATAGACAAGTGAACCAAGAAAAAGAGCCACATTTCTCTAAAGAACTTGCCCAGGGCTGCTGAAAGCTGAAAAATAACCAATCTCACAGTTTGGGGCTTTTTACCCGTGAATCTTCACTTTGCGACTAAACTATTCACAGCAGTGCCACATTTTCTGGGTCACTGAATGTGGATGCCAGCGCCCTACAAGCAAACTAAAAATCAAATCAATGCGACCACTGACATTAC